CTTCCTACACCTTGTGTGTGTAGCTATTTACAAGGATGTGGTTTTCCAGTTAGGAAGTGAAAGAAGTTCAGTCTAGATCTAAACCATCCCTAAGAACCAAATATTTTTAAATGTCTCTGATCTATTATCAGAACTGGTATGAACTCCTTTTTCTGTGTTTCAGTTTAAGAAAAATAAGAGATAAATCAAATACAAGGGACAAACTGGGATAATCAACTGATCAAGTATGAGGCAAATCTCAAATTGCACAGCAATTTGTTCCACTGTCTTAAATTAACCTTTGAATGAGGTGAACAAGGCTCCTGCTGACCAAAATTTCTTTTCCTCAATGGGGAAGGGATGGAATCAGCACACACTGCACCTTAAATTCTCTCACTCTCATAAGGCTGGGCATTTCCAGTAGTGTGCAGGGACAGGGTTTGTGCACCAAGTGTGAAGAGCTCAGCACCTGGCAGAGTCTGTGACACTTAAAACATCAGCCTGCTCCTGCCCCACTACTGAGAGGCCATCATTGGGAGGATCTAAAGAGTTTCTTTGTGATGCTGAAGCCAAGGTCATGTGTGAACTATAATACTGTGAGTCCTGAGGTAAAACACAGGTATTAAGAGAACAGTTATTTCCTGAAAATTCTGAATTGTTATGCTATGTTTCCTAATAATTTTTGAATGAGGGAGATCTCTTTCTCTTTTTTAACTATCAAAGCAAGAAACTGCTCTTCTTCCCATAGACCTGCCACTAACTCCAAGCATTCCTTTTCTGATTCAAGAAAGTCAGATAGATTCTGTGTTTCTTTACAAATCAGAAGAAAAATGTTCGTGCATTTTCATTGCAAAAATTCGTACTACTTCTAGCAATTCAACATTATTTTTTCCCTTCATAAAACACCGTTTTATCAAATATTTTTAAAATCTTTCCTAGTTTAAACATAAAATAGATTTATAATGAAAGCCATAAGGGGAAACAAAAAAAAAAAAAAAAGAAAAAGAAAGAAAAATACCCCTACAGAACATGTGAAATCAACTGTAGAAAATTGTTTTAAGGGTGGAAGTGTACCAGAATCATGCTTGAATAGGTATCAGCTGATTCTACCAAATGGCCATCAAGGTCAAGGACCATCATAAAAATCAAAGCAAGGACTTTGCCTAGGCAATTTTTTTTTTTTAAATTTTGAAATAAAGTTCAGGGCTGCGGTCAATATATTTGCTTTTTATGAACACTTCTTTGATTTATTTTTGAGAAAGCTACTTCAGTATAGCTGTTAAATATTGAATACTCCTTTTCCTACTTCAAGGTTCACAGAAGATTTCATAATATTTGTATGCTTTTTATGCATGAGTCCTCTTATTTATACAGCTCCCTATAAATCATATAAATGAATGACAGAAAGGACCAATTAGAGCCTTTTCAGGGTGGAATGGCTCTTAGATGGTTGTGCAGTTTCATTTTAATGGTTTCAGGTTCCACAGTTTCCCTAAGGAGATTATTTGAGAGCTTACTGCAATTTGTTCTCACGATAGTCAGCTTCAACATTTCCTTTTCCAACTGCATCACAATACACTTACATCCAACATAATGTATCACACCTCTTGTGCTACAAGGTAGATTCCATAAATCCTGCAATAAATTCATCACCTCTCCTTATGTCCTTATAAGCCTGTATTAGCTGAGTTAGTAGCACATGCCAGCCTTGAAAGCAACATCACAGTTATGCCTCTTTAGTGATTTGCACAAAAAAGCAGCAATCGAATTCCAATACTACAGACATATATTCAAGCAACAAATTAATTCACAAAAATTATCCATGTTTTATAAGATAATTCTATGGTTCTTTGTATTGTAAGTATAAAATACTGCCCCTTTTTTGTGCATGCTTGCAGAGCCTTAAGCCCATCTTCCTAGAGTCGTATAATAAAATTCCAGGAGCAAGTTTTTTATCATGTGTCTCTGGAAGGATTCAAATAAATTTTCCAGTTCACTACAATGTAAGCAGTACTGTTGTGTGTGGCTGACTTTGCCCTGCCATGTATGCTGGTCCCTTCACCTCTCTCTTTGTCACATGCCAAACTGGTTTGCTTCCAGATTCCTAGCCTGCCTTTCCCATTCAAGTCCTGCCATGGGTTTGCCCCTGTTCCAGGGCTCATGCTCAGTTCCTTCACTGCTCAAATTTTATTACACAAGAAACAGAGCTTACATTCATCTTTTTACAATTTCAGATTAAAGGGACTACAGAAATAGGGAAACACATTTCTACAAGTTTAAGACTACCAGGTTGTACATTTTTTTAAGTTATCTGTCTTCAGTTATACTGATCACATCAGAATTTTGAAGAAAACAAATGAGAACCAGAAACCAGGAAAGCACCCCTTAACATCCTAATAGTTCATGTATGTACATATTCCATGAATTGTAATTTGATAACCATCTCCTAGCTTGTTTTAGAGGCTATATTATTCCTACTGAACAAATGAGTTCTATAAAACTACAAAGTCTCCTGGAAACTCTGTCAGGTGTTAATGTGCTAATTAGAAAATAATTGACTAAACCCATGAAAGCAGTAATAAAAAGTTAGAATACTGTTCATTCACTCAGTAATACAGAAGAAGTGCTCTAATAGCAAAGGTTTAAGAGCCAAAGGACCAGGCAGGTGCCTAATACTTCATTAGGTTTTATAACTGAGGAAGACACTACAAATACCAGAAGCCAGTGGCCACCACCTCCTCCCTGCTGCCCTGCAGGACAGCTTTCACTGGCTGAAGAGTCTGGAAGATCCCTGAGGGAAGCTGCAATGAACTCCCTGGCTACATGGCATGTGGGCCCTGTCAGAGAGAGTCTCTCCTTCATTGTGCAAAAAATCTGTCGTTCATTACTGAAATCAGCCCCTTATGGCTGAACCAGCAACTGGCTTGAAGTCACTGGAGAGGGAAAAAATGTGAGGGTGGCCAAATTGTTTGGAATGCAGCTAAAATACTTCAGAGAGTTTAAGGTTAAAAGGGATCATTGGATCAAATACTCTGACCACAGGACAGTAAGTCTTATTACCAATCCCAAACTGAGCTAAGAAGCTTGTTTTTGATTAAAACCACTACATTTGCATTACATTATGTCAGCTCCTGACCACTGATTCTCTTTGTTTTGCTCTCTTCTACCATTTTAAAAAGCTTTAGCACAGCAAATCTTGCATATCTTTTTTGACAAATTGATCATGGATTCAGAACATATCCTTATGAGAGGCTTTCTCCGGTACTATAATGTTCTGCCAGGTCTTTCCTGCACCACTTGATCTTTAATGTCAAGAGCCACACACCTTGTTCTATCAGTTCCCACTAATACACACTGGAATGCTGGTAGTACATGCAACAGTCAGACTGGACACATTGTACCTTATCCAAAACAGTTTGCTTGACATGATTTTTAGACAACTTTTTCTAAGACATAAGCTCTCCTTCCAGAGGCATGGCTTGTATTCCTGGAAAATCTGGCAGTAAATTTGGCCTGCGCATTTGGCCATTTGAAAGTGTTAATTTTATTAAGCAGTCCAGATGACATTGCAGTTGCTCTCACAGTAGTTTACTAAGTTACCATTTAGCACATCCATAGATTTCATTAACAATGTGTTGATCTTGGATCTCTGGTAAAAATCTTGAAAATGCTGAGCCTGCAGAAACTTATATACCCCAAAACCATGAAGACTAGCCTCTGAAACCTCTTCTGATCTTTCAGAAGATCAAAAATATTTCTCTATTTAACACATTGACCGTTCAGCACCATTAGGCATTAGAAGTACATATGGTATTAACCAAAAGACTCAGAGACCATTTTACAGTTCTAAGCCTACTAGATTAAAAACAGAAGCCATGGTGTTTCTGCAGTTCCTTGTATCAATTTACCTCTGTTACTGAATAAGGCTATCAGAACTGTTTTATAAGTCGAGGTGACTGACACTAAGGATATCTTACTTATCTCTTTATCAAACCTCTTTTGCTTCTTTTTCTACTGTTTTGCCTGTGGTTTATGTTAAAAGAGTAAAGAACAGTACAGGACATCCAGCTGTGTCTACTGAAAATGGACAGAACACAAACGATTTTCTTTACTTCTTAGTAACTTACTTTTCATTTCAAGATTTATTAAACCCCAAACTTAAGCTACTTCCTCGGCCAACTCTGCCAAGATCCCACGGTGCAAATTAGCCAGACTTCATTAAAAACTGTCTAGGTTTGCTTGGAACAGAGCTCTCCCCACGGACCTCACCAATTCCAGCCACGTGATGCCCGCACAACACCTGGCTTCTCCCAGGTACGGGAGCGGTGCTCATCCAGCTGCGGCACCTCAGACCCATCTCCAGCCCGGAGCGCCTCTCCTCGCCCCTCCTCGTTCCCCTTTTTCTCTAAATTCCCTCCTCTGCCGTACGCCCAGCGGAACCCCCGTTTGGGGGTTCGACCGAGGTGCCAGCACCCGCCGCCGCGCACAGCCCGCGCCCTCTCCCGCGCCGCGCCTTCCCGTCGTCCTGCCCCGCCATGAAGTTGAGCAGCCGCGGCCGGGGATGCTGCGCGGGCGGCAGTCGGGAGCGCGGGCCGCCGCCGCGGAGCCCCTTCGTGCACCAGCTGCGCTTCAGCCCCCTGCAGAAAGCCAAGGTAGGGGCGTGCGGCCGCCGGGCCGCCCTTCCTTTTGGGGGTTCGACCGAGGTGCCAGCACCTGCGCGGCGGCAGCTCCCCGCGGCCCATTCCCTCTCCTGCCGCGGGGGATGCGGCGCCAGCGCGGCCCCCGGGAGCGCGCGGGCGGTTCCCCTCATGCCGCCGGGCGAGGCCGCGCTCCCGGCATGCCCGAGGGGGACGCTCCGAGGGTGGCTAGGTGGGCGGAGGGAAGGAGGGCGGGAGGGTGCGCGCCCACCCCGCCGCCGCCGCTTCCCATTCCCAGGCGCTTCCCATTCCCATCCGACGCGGAAACCGGCGCGCAGCCGAGCCGCTGTAGCCGGCGCGCAGGGCGCATGCGCGGGCGGCCGGGAGGGCGGGGGCCGGCGTTCAGCGGGGAGCGCTCCGGCCGCCGGTGCCGCCCGCACTCCGCGCTCCCGCCCGGCGCCGCCGCTACCCGGGACCGGCGGCCGCCGCCGCGCACAGCCCCCGCCCTCTCCCGCGCCGCGCCTTCCCGTCGTCCTGCCCCGCCATGAAGTTGAGCAGCCGCGGCCGGGGATGCTGCGCGGGCGGCAGTCGGGAGCGCGGGCCGCCGCCGCGGAGCCCCTTCGTGCACCAGCTGCGCTTCAGCCCCCTGCAGAAAGCCAAGGTAGGGGCGTGCGGCCGCCGGGCCGCCCTTCCTCGCCGCCGCCGCCTTCCGCGCGTCCCCCGCCGCGCACCGGCTGCCGGGCCGCGTCCTGCGGCGGGCGGGGGCTCCGCGCCCCGGTGCTTTGTGAGCCGGCGGAGCCGGGCAGCGGTGCGGGGCGTGTGCGAGGCGGCTGCCGGGGGCGGCCGTGCCCGGGCCGGCGGGCGGGGGTCTGGGGGCGGCCGTGATGCTGTAGTGCGGGGCGTGCGCCTCAACTTGTGCTCCGGTGCCTGCTTCAAAGGAGAAAAAAAAAAAAAAAAAAGCTGTTGGTGTTTGTTTGTTTCGGGGGTCTTTTTGTGGGTTTTCTTGGCATTTTGAGGTTTGGGAGTTTTTTCGGCTTTTTCTGGTTTTCGTTGGGGTTTTTTTGGTTTTGTTTGTTTGGGGTTTTTTTGGGTTTTTTTTTGTTTTTTTTTTTGTTTTGGGTTTTTTGGTTTTTTTGTTTTTTTTTTTTTTTTTTTTTTTGTTGTTGTTTTGGTTTTTTTGTTTTTTTTTTTTAATGGGGGACGGGGGAGCGGCCCTGCGGAGCCGCTCTTTTTCAGCGTCAGGTTAAGGTAGGTATTAACCTGGGCCGAGCCATCCCGGTGCGGATGAAGTTTTGCCCCTGGGTAAATAGTCCCAGCGGCGTAATTTAGGCATTGGATTGTGCAGGTAGCGGTGACTACAGGAGGCGGTATTAAAATGCAAATTTGCAGTTGCGTGGCTTTTTATTTCGTTGTTTGGTTTTAGGGGTTTTTTTCCCCCTCCTCCGTGCCTCTGCCTCGCCTCTCACGGTGAGCTGTAAGTGGTTGGGTATTCAGAGGGCATGGCCCTTGTCTTAGGCTTTCGGTAAGATCTGGGTCACTGGCTGGAGGAAGAAATACCGTCAGAGGCTCACCTAATGAGGGGCTGGCCATTTCTGCCGCTTCCATCACTGTAATACTTCATAAAGCTGTTTTTTTGGGTGCCTGACAGCCTTCAGTACCTGTTCACATTGGAAATTATGATTCACTAATATTGAACCTCTTGGGTCAAGGCACTTTAATTCCAGCTTTGATTTGCATTTAAGTGAAGTTCCTTGTTGCACTGCCCTGTTGCTGCCCAGATGCTTAACACAAGATATGTATGGCCTGACTTAAAAAACATCAGAATGTGCCTCATGTTACATATCAGGCAACCCAGGAATTTATAGTACACTCAAGGAAAGGAAAGGTTTTCAGTTTTATTAAGTTGCCCAGTATGTATTCAGTGGTTGCTCATAAATTGTTGCTTGAGCTGGAAAAGGCAGAAAAGGTTTGTGTCATCTACTTCATTTAGTTTTTTATCTAGAGCTTCCTCTATAAATTGCATAGTTGTAAAGATTTCCTTTCCAAACCATACTTTGTTCCTGAAGTCATGATTAATGCAGTTAATGAGATAGAAGTCTTTCAGGGAGCAGAGAAAAACAAAGATAGCACATGTTCATAGGGACTAGGAGTGCTCCAGTTATAACAACTAATGTTGCTTTCTGCTTGGTTATTTATAAAAAATGTTAAAAATACTGCTGAGAGAGGAGAGCAGACTGTTTGACAGTTTTTGCAGTATTGAGTCTCATAGGAGCTACTAGCATTGCTGATCTGATGTTAGTCCTGACAGACCTTGAGGTGCTTTGTCAAGGAGGTGACTGCTTGTAGAGCACACCTGCTTTCTGCGTGGGCTGCCTGTTCATAGGTTTGAGATGGGATCTTTGCCAATGGATTTCAAGGATTTGTTATTTCCAGTGAAGATGAGGAGATGTGTTCAAACCACTGTAGTTTGTCACAGTGCACAGGCCAAAGGAGCAGCCTCCTCACCAGATTGTGTCTCAGACTTGCTTTTTAAGCAAGCAGTCTTTCATGATATATGGCAGCACAGAGTTCTGTAACCCAACCTCTCTTCAGTCTTACTGTTGTAGTTTCATGCAGGAAAAAGCCCATAAGCTGGCATACTGAACTGTTGTAGGTTTTTTCTTTGCCTTAGTCATGCTTTTCCAGCCTCTTCACTGATTAAAAGTTGTGCTTGAGACAGAAGCTGTTAAAGCAGAGCTGTGGAACTGCTGCACCTGAGAAGAAATGCTCCCCAGGTGAATTACAGAAGTGTGCATTCTCATCTGAGCAGCCTTGGAGAGCTACAGAGCGCTCGGTGTGAACTATTGCAGCTGAACTCACTTCCTGTTCAGCTGTAGGCATGTACTGTGTCACAGCCTTTTCTGTCTGTCCTGTGCATCTAACGGGGGTTTCTGGGATTGCACAGGCTGTCCAGGAAGGTTAGGAATGTAGCTACAAGAAGTAGGGAGCCCAGGGGACTGGGAGACAAGACTGCTTTGTCCGATGGTCTGGTGTCTGTTGCTGATGGTCTGCCAGATAGCCCCGTTATCTTCGCTACAACCTCGTCCTGCACTCTGCAAGAGGTTAGATTAGCTTTTTTATTCATTAATGCAGCTCAGAAGTAAATGCTTTTTAGCATGTTCCAGCCCAAGACTGTGAAAGAAAGGTAGAAAGTGAGAGGGTAAAACAACCACGAGGAGAAAGAGCAACAGTACAAAGTAATCCTTTTGACCGTCAAGGAACTGTTCAAGTCATCTTTCACTGACTTTCTAAAAACTGGGAGATTACAAGAGCGTAAAAGCAGTAAGACTGTTTCAGAACAGAGTCTCATCAGTAGAAATTATGGCTATTTTACTCTGATCTGAGGGTGACAGTAGGGCTCATTCTTGAAGCTACCTATTTTATTTTAGTACTATAATAAAAAGGTTCTTTCTGTGAGAAAGACAGACATGATTTTATTAACCAAGGATTTTGTTCATGCTAACATCTTCTGGGCACCTGTCATGTAAGTCCAAGCTCTTGTTACCTCTGCAGAGCTGGCAAAAGCATTACTGGGGCTGTCAGTAAGCATCTGTAGCTTTTTTCCCTGCTACTTCAAAACACAATACAATGCCATTTTCCTTTCTTCCAGTGTTTCTGGCCCTTTTATTTCACCAGTGCTGGTGTTCATTTGGTGCCTTGGTGAGCTGATTTGGCTCATTAAACCAGCATATCATTGTGTTTTTGTGTTCTGATTATTTTCTTCTGCTGGGATGGCTGTGTTTTTTCTCACTAATGAGCTATATTGGCTCATTGGTAGCTCACATAAGTGCTAGAGCTGACTCAGGGGGAGGATTGAGGAGAGAGTGAACAGGACCACTCTTTCACAGCAGTGATCTGTTAGATTGGCTTAGCTGCACAGGAAAATTTATCCTGCTGTATTTATCTCCATGAATGTGTCTGCTGGGGAACTTGCAGAGTGGGGAAGTGGGTAGTGAGAGAATCGTTGAGGGATTAATTCCTAGCTCCTGCACTGCCATCTTTGGTGAGTTGAGCTATGGGGGTGATAATAGTGAGGAAGTATAAGTGTAAGATGTAATTTCTATCTGATACGTGTAAAAGAAAAATCAAAATCTCTACTGTGTCAAATACTGCCTTTCTCAGTATTGTGACTGCTACTTTTTAACAAGTCATGGAAATTTTGTTGGGAATAAACTGTTTTTAGTGATGTTTCTTATGGTATTGGTAATTTCCAAGTTGCATTTTTTTTAGCTTCCCTAAAAGAAGCATGAGAGCTGTGCTACTGCTTTTCAAGATAGGAAACAGACCTAAAGAAGTAGAAACAAGGGTACTCTGTGATTCTCTTGCTCAGCACTTAGATACATGGGACCAGATATTTTGGAGAACTTGAAACTTGAGTTCATATTTAAACCTTCAATGTGAGGTCATACTTAAATCTGAATGCAGTCTCTCTAAACAAGGACAACATATGATACGTATGTAGTTTAAGTGACTTGCCTTACATCAGATTTAAGCCCTTCTGATGGAAGAATGGAGATCAGTTTCCCTGGGCAGCCTTCCATTACAAGCTGTCCACAGGTCTTTCACAGTATACACTGCAGCTTCTGAAAAAATAAGTTGGATGCTGTAGACCAGCAAATGTTGTAGTCAACCCCCTCTTGAGATTTCTTTAGTTATGAACTGAACCCCTCACAATACAACTCTGGATGGATCTTTAGGGGTTTTTAAATGTATCTCAGGACACAGGTGTTCACATATTACTTATTGCCAAACAGAATTTGTAGTTTTAATGGAAGACATATCTCTATGAACATCCCAAATATGTAGGAATGTGATCACCAAAATAATGTGCACATAAAGTCAGAGCCAGAGTGTATGTCTCCTGCATTCTGGTCTCTGACAGTGGCCAGTGGGGACAGGATCTTCTCCTTTTTTTGTCTCTTCTCCTTTTTTGTCTGACACTGACTGTGCACTGTTGCTGTACATAGGTTTTACAAGATAGAAGCTTTCTTACCTGGAAGGATGTCTGAATGTAGATATAGACTGAACTACTTTTCAAACGCTAGCACCTCTCTTGATTCCTAACCTTCTTCAGGAGGTAGACATACTTTTCTCTCCTGCCAAATTTCTTGTGTCAACAGGTGCTGAACTATTGCTTGCTAAAAAGAGGCTGGTGTCACAGCCAGACCCTGTACATTTGGTGCATTTGCTTCTTGCTGGCCATTACTATTCCCGCTGTCTCTGGAAGACCAAGAGGCCTTTTATGCACATTTATGCCATCTTTTATGACATTATGGATGCAACTTCTGCTTTTATTCTTTTACCTGGCACTAAAAGGATCATTGGTATAAAGGATTGGTGCAGAGAGTCAAGGGGTGGAATACCTCACTACCAGTCACCTGCCATTCACCTTTGCTCTCGAGCAGGAGAAGACTTGGAGTGGGAGGGAGGGAGGAAGGAGGTGTGAATCCCAAAGGTCTGTGTCCTCACCTGCATTTTGCTTCACTTATTTCTTAGTGGCTGGTCCTTCTCATTTTAGAAACTTAGAAGGCAGCAGCTCTCATCTCCAGAATGCTCCTCTATTTGCTGCCAGACATGGTGGTCTTGCCTATGGAGTTGTGTGAGTTGGTGTAACTTTGGTGCTCATCTGACAATTGTAGTGAAGTTTTACTGGTTCATCTGGGAAACTAGCCTACCTAAGGAAAAAAAAAATCCTTTTTCTGTCAGTTCTGCAAACTAAAGCGGAGTCTCCATGGGGACTGGAAGCCTGTTCTGGAGGGTGAGATTGTGGTTGTTATGAGATGATGGTGCCAGTCTGAAACAGCGCTGTAAAATCCAACTGCAGTGGGCTGGTAGCTTAGGGCTTGAAAGTGGTATCTTGGGCTTTTCTCCTGCTGTGTGTTCCCTGCACCTACCCTAGATTTACAGATTTGTGCACCTACAGAGTGAGTTGGTTGTTGAGCTGTTTTGGGAAGTGAGAGGAAGTGGAAAGTGAGCTGCATGATGACTAGATCTGCATCAGGGAAGAGAAGAATGTGAATTAATCTTTCCACAGCAGCCTTGAGATGCATCAGATTAAGCACAACATGAGACAGCACCTTATGCATTGTTACTCATCCTTGCCCAGATATGGTGATATTGAAAAATGTGCTTTTTTTAACCTTATCTGGCATATCTGGAATTGAATGGTATTCTGCTGTTTCTGCCATTAGATACTTTTAAGTTAAGAAATGGTATTAGTTTCTAGGAATCACTGATCTTTTCAGTATGAAATTGTGGAGGAATAATGTGGGTTGTTTTTTTTTGTTTGTTTGTTTGTTTTTGGTTTTTTGTTTATTTTTTGGTTTTTTTGCAGATTGCCTTCATGACCTTGACTCTGTTTCCTATCCGACTCTTTTTTGCTGCTTTTATGATGTTGCTGGCCTGGCCTTTTGCGTTCATTGCTTCAATGGGATCTGATGAGCAAGAGCTTGAAAAGCCTCTCTCCTGGTGGCGAAAGTGAGTCACTGATGTGGTGAAATACTGAGAGAATCATTATAAAGTTCAGCAGTTTGAAAGAGAGATGATTGGAAATACCTGTCTCAGAGACCTACTTTTCTCTTCAAAAGAAAAATATAAAAATTATTAAACACTTTCCTCAGATGGGGAACTAAATGCCTCAACTCTTTGATTTGCCAGGTGATCCAAGAATTACACTGGTAATCTCTGGCTTCTTATCTTTATTGAGGAGGTAGTGTGAAACTTTGTTGTGGCATCTTCCATTGCATTTATTCCTGTAATGTCAACTTCTGGTTATGAAAATTGACTCTATGGAATGTGCCCTGATCTCATATTCTAAATTATTGTTTTAAACTGTTTCACCCCATTGTCTTCTACCCTGTGATGAACTGACAAAACTCGTGTTGATTCCCCGAGGGCTTGCCCCATACTACGGTGCTTATTGAAAGTCTGTGGTTGCTTTGATATTGCAATGCTAATTAAGGTAGAATGTAAGACAGTGTCCTCCCATCCATGAAAACTGCCATTTGAGGAGCAGGAAGGGAGGGGTGTATCACCTCTTCTATAGACAACTTTAAAATTAGGAGCTGGCACTAGCATGAAGGAAGGTGATTGTGTTTTGAATCACAGGAGGGAAGGAGGTTGAGAGCCAGAGAGGCATGTCACTTTACATTTCATTTGGAGCGATATCAATGCAATAACTAATGGAATAATTGTCTGCCTTCAGTCTTGCATACAGTTGTTTTGAATCTTTTTAGATTCTCTCTTCCTCACTTATTCCAATTTTCAGTGTTACCCTGCTCTCCAGCCTCCAGTCCCTGTAAGTGTTAAAATTTGTGGTGTTTGATTTTTGTGCTCTGTTGATTCACAGTTTCTCTTTTCATGACTGTCAGACAGTTTAAAAAAACAAACAAAACTCCACCAAAAAAAAAAAAAAACCACAAACAAAAAAAACCACCAAAAAAACAAACCACAACCTTCTCCACCCCACCAAAAAAAAAAAAAAAAATCCACAAGAAACAAAACTCAAAATCACTTCAGGAGAAGATGAGGAAAGGGATGAAAGTAAACTATTTCCAAAGCTCTCATATGTATCCTATAGGCCTTCCTGTATTTGAGAGTTTCTGCCCTATATTTGTCCCTTTTTGCTTGGGTAAACTTGAAGCCAAGAATCAGGGTAGGTGCATTCTGGCAATATTCTAATAGCATATTTCAGGACTGAATTTATTAGAGCTTTTTAGGTGTTACTAGAAAACCTTACTGGGCATTGTGTAGAAGAAACTTAACAGTCATAGTCTTAATTAAAATTGACAATGTACTAAATGATGGTCTTGGAGACTAGAATGAATTAGTGTTCAGGTATAAAATGAAGTTGAACAGCATCTTGCCTAAAAAATGGTAAAAATGGTTTTAAATCAGCTGAGAAAGAGAAGATCAGAGTGTGTGCGGTGTTCCAGCTCTTCTTTAAGCATCATATCCTGTCTGAACTTCCATCATGCATGTAATTTTTAATTTTATTATTTTAAGGTGTTCCTGCAGCAACATAACTGTTTTCCCATCTCTTTACAGGGTAGTGGATATTTTGCTGAAAGCAATAATGAGAATGATGTGGCTTGCTGGTGGATTCCACTGGATAAATGTAAAAGGCAGACGGGCATTGCCAGCAGAAGCAGCAATATTAACGGTGGCTCCCCATTCTTCCTACTTTGATGCCATTCCAGTAACCATGACCTTCGCCTCCATTGTGATGAAGGCAGAAAGCAAAGATATTCCTGTTTGGGGAAGTAAGTTGGTAGATACCTCATTTTTCAAGAACAATTTTAAAAAGATGGCTTAGGAAGTTCTTTTAACTGGTCAACTCTGAATGTCAATAAAAAAATTGGGGCAGGAGGGGGAAGGGAATGTTCTTTTTCCACTTTCTCTGAAGTCGAATCCCCATATGAAGTCAAAGCAATCCTACAGAACTCATGGTTTAATTTGCAGTGAACTTGTAACATTTTAAGACCTGCCAGGTAGAAAAGCAAATTAGGATGGAGCTATGGAAGCAAAGACTAATGCTAGAGAGAAAGTCTACAAAGACTTGGTGCGAGTTGGGGTACCCTCCCAGAAACGTGTTTTAGGAATGTGGTCTGCTCTGAACACAACCCTGCCTTGAGGGAGTGCTGGTAATCCTTCACACATCAATAAGTTTGTTTCAGGCAGAGTGTGAGAGATGAGCACAAGAGCAGATTGGTGTGCACTTGGGTTTAGTCATGACAGAAGCAGATGCCTGAGTCAGTAGTGCTTGAATACTATATTTGGAATTATTCATGTATGTTCTCACAAATATTTGAGGGACACCTGTGATTTTTTGGTACAGTTGTGACAGGCAAAAAATTGTGTAAGCTTTTGGGCTTGTAGACTTCTTACCAAAGTCTGTGTTGAAGCAACCCACTGTCTTGTGTCTAGCGACCAGCAAAGTTCAAAGAATATCCCTGTGTCTCATTGTGTAGATTTTTATGGGCAATATAAAGGTGACAAAATATTTTACTTTGGCCATGGGTAGGACTCTTAAATGTAAAAGTCTAACAAAAGCTTTGAGTTCCTTTGCAGCTAATTGGAATTAGGCTGTTGGTATTGACATCCTTCTGAAATTTAATTAGACAATGTGTTTTTAAGGTCCCATTCAAAAACAGAAGCTGAGACACAGCCACAAATGGTGAGTGGTTAGCTATGGAAGTTTCATTTCAGGAATCTTGTCATATAAGGAAGGGTCTGCCTGTATGAGGTAAAATTCAGGCCAGATCTGTAGTTGCATCTTAATTTCGCTGAATATCTTACTAATGGTGTTTAGAAATTTGTGGCAGTGAAAAATCTATGTAAAAATTAATAGATGCTTTGAACCAAAAGAAAAAGGGTGCAGGCAGGCATGTGTTTTTGAAAACAAGTGTATGCAAACAAGCATAGTGTGAAAACAAAAAGAAATTGAACTCCCTTGTTCAGTTGTGAAAGAAGATACTGTTGTGAGACAGTATGTTGGCAGTCTTGTACAGCACAGGTGTATCCAGGCCAACTTGGGCTTTAGGAGCAGTCCAGACATAGAGGCAGGAGCTGGTATCTTCTTTCTGAGGTCACTCAATTGGCTGTTTAATAATTGCTGGCTCAGCAAAATGAAAGCAGTCTGTGTGGAACTCCCTTTGATTTGAAGGTGGTCTGTCTGGAGGACCCAAATTAAATGGGGTAACTCCAGTCCCTGTTGTGCTACTGCAATGTGATGAAATGGCAGAATGGCATTTGACTGTACTATAATGGCTACTAAAGTATCCCCACATGGTAGATTCATTGGGAACCAGGAGGATCTGTAGGGATATGGAGATTGTATGAATGTAACACAAATAATGTGTATTAAGAAGAACAAATTTTCTAAATACCTAATTTAATTTTGAGGTGACTTTTACAGAATTCCATTGAAAGTCTAGACTTCCTACAATATATTTTAAAAGTTATTCACTTCATTTAGTTCATATGTGAGTAAAACCAGTTACAGAAAAAGAGAACATGTAAGTGATTTGATGGAATATTACTGGACTGTACAGTGAAGTCAAATAAATGAACGTTTTGTATTGTATAGCTGCATTTGCTTTATGCTGTGCAGCCACAAAACTTATGTAGTTACTTGTGAAATGTTCACAAAAATGCCACAGGAGTGAGGCATACCAAAGGTGGTAATTGGGATTGAGAGTTGAAAAACCATTTTTGTTTTTAGGGGTGGACTTTTATATGAGCAACATTAATTATAGCAGTTTGTGTTCTTTAAGTAAATGGACCTTAACAGAGAGGTAGTAATCACTGTATTGATTAGTTTGGCTTAAAAATTAGTGAGAACTTTCCAGTAAAACTATTTTTTTAAAATCTCTTACTGTTTGAGAGAAGTTTTCTGTGAAGCAGATAGTGCTGACCATCTTCTCCTTTGATCTAGTATTTTAATCCCAATGTTATTTACACCTCTCTACATGCACACACAGAAAAAAATACATTTCATGTTATCAGACCACTGATATTTCTCTTGTGCTTATGTGATAATGTGCTCATGTTTTTGTTGGATTGCCTGGTGAATTGTCAACATTCTAGATATTCATCAAGAATTTATCCCAGAGAGGTCAGAATCATGTGTTCTTCAGTTTTGTAAGTCCTGCAAGCTTGGTATGCCATCTTCAGTAAGGTTTTGGAGCCAGTCACTGATATTCCTAAACTTATCTCTTGAGTCTTGTGAATGGTTATTCTGAATCTTCTAGGAAGTTTTGAATAAAGTACATTTATTTAAGTATCTGAGCAGACTTAAATAGGTAAAAAATGAAGTGGCAGAGGAAATTTAAAGATCATTTGCAAGGATGAGGACTCTGGGTGAAGAGTACATCCTCATCCTGTATATTCAAGTATGATATAAATAAATTGGCCTTTTGATGTAATGACAGTGTTTATTAAGACATTGTACATTGTATACCAGAGGGATCAGGTGCTTTAGCAGGCACAAAATGATCTGATTGCTAAATGGTTACTAAGATTGGTTCTGCAAGCATTTTAATAGGTTTCTGGAACAGCTGCCTATATTATTGTACCCTTAGTCAGTCATGGGATATTAAGCTTCTGATCCACTTGAAAGTCCAGATGATTAAAAGCCGGTTCTTTATGGGATTGGAAGTACTCCACAAGTGTATTTGTGTATGAGGGTTTTTATTGCTGTCTAACTTGAAGGCAGCTCTCTTGGTTTGCAAAGTCCAATTTCAGAAGCAGACTTATGTCTTGTGACTCTTACAGATATCTTCATCCTTTTTAGGAAAACAAAGAAAATCAGATTTAAAAATGCTCTTTGGTTCTGGGGTAAGAGTTATGAACTCTTCAGTCAGTGGTCAGTAGTGAAGAAAATTATCCATTTGGCACACACACAAGGTTAACAAACTCTGGGGAGGAACTGCTTGCCCAAATATAAACAGTATTTCAATGATCATTAAAAAAAATCAGTATCTGGAAAGAAGAGAATGCCAAACAGATGGAATATGTCATGATGCTGAAGGAAGATGTATGTTTCTATACAGTGATTTTCCAGGGTTTTGGTAGCTTGGAGATGTGACCTTTGCTGGACCACTTAAGTCTTACTGTGGGAAAATGCACGTAGGAGACTGTTATACATTATATGGTCTGGAGAAGTCAGATCAATTTATCAGTACAGATCCTTAAACTTCCCTGTTTTGTCTGCTGAATCTCACTTCAAGTCAGGACAAGGTTTGTGCATAAATTTTGGATAGTTACACTTCACTGTCTTATTTTTGGCTGTTGAAGCAACCTGGATGAAAGTAGTTTTTCATTGCTGCAATGATTGGTCCTGCTGCAGAAATGCTTCAGGAAGAAGGACAAGAAATTTATCAGTAAATATGAATTGATGGGGACTTTGGACCATTTTTATGATTTGAGCATTTTCACTGGTCTGAACTTTTAGAAACTAAATGTAAGTGAAAAGTTAATTTAAACTTTGGGCAACTTCTCAATGTCTCTAACACCACTCTGAAAAAAAGAGGGAGTTGGTATCTGTGAAATGTACAGGATGATAGGTTACCCTAGGTTTATAAAAGGGAAGGAGGTAATTTGTGTTTGGCAGAACACATCAGAGCTACAGAGAAAGGGAGAATTATACAGTGCTATAAAACTATCAATTCTCTTGTAGATGGTTTTTTCCACACCTAGTAAACCAGTGAATTTTTGTTCAAGCTCATTTTTTTGAAGTGCATTATAGGTTTTTCTCAAGCATCATGACTAAAAGATGAGAATAAAAGTAATTCAGGGGAAAGTATTTATGCTTGGCTAGCTGGGTATGTTTTCATCTCAAAACTTAAAAGGTGCCAAATTACCCACCAGCTCTGTTGTGCCGCCTAATCCTCTAGCCCTGCATCCCTCCCCACCCCTTCCATACACTACAAGGAAGGGAACTGTGGTAAACCCGTAGTTCTTCTGTGAAAATCACACATTTAAGCACTTACGAGATTCACTAAAACAGTCCTTAAACTCCTTATGGAAAAATCTGATCTAAGGTGAAGGCATTACAGATTTCTTATCTTTTATACACTGTAAATCAGGGGCTTGAACACTGAGGTCACCAGGATGAATGCCAACATCCTATGCTGTGTTGGCATTGTAGCCTGCCTTGAGTACACACTTGAACTGCCCATTTCTGAGCAGCATCTTGAAGTTGTAGCCAAGCTTATCCATTTCATCTTCTCCTTTAAAACCCTCTGTTTCAAAATTCAATGTTTCCTTCAGACTGTGGGCACCCAGATGGTCCTGCAAGATTTCAGTCTCACAGAAGCTCTCTCAGATTTAAAATACTTGCATTGTCACCTGTGTGTTATGGGTATGTGTTTATCATTTGGCTTGGAGTCCTGGAAAATTCTGTAAAAATTACTTCTCATTTAAACTGCTACTGGAATGCTTTCAAACCACCATCTCTAGTTAATATCATTTATTGAAGTTACAAACTGCAGTATATAGGAAAACTTCAAACCAATACTGCTGCCTGCCTTAAATACTTTTTAGATTGGCAGCAGAAAGCTAAAACATAAAACCATGTCCTCATACAGGTATTGCAGGTGTCTCTGAGATAAAAAAGAAGTCTTTGTCTCTCAAGGAATCCTTAAAGGAAATTGATCACATTTTTAAAGACTGACCCAAATACCACAATTTGCTTCTGTTAAAGCTAAGGAGGGTACTGATTATTTACTTCCCACTACTGACCTTTCCTTGTCCTATGGGCTGCACTGTTTCCTGGCTTTCTCTTTGGAAGCAGGGAGGAGAACTTTCCCATTAATGCTGCCTCCCATTCATTAATACCATGAATGCTTTGCATGCCTGCAGTCAGGTGGTCCATCTGCTAAGCATTTAGTCAAACTTGGAGAAGTTTTCTTGACATACATTTATCTTCAGTGGTTGATTTAGACTTGAGTCAAATAAGTATATATATAATATATATATATATGTATATATATATTTATTTATTATATATAAAATATATATATAAGTAAATATATAATATATATACTTATTATATATATATATATAGTAAGTATATTTATTATATATAAAATAAGATACTACCACCAGCTTTACAAATCTCTTACCGAGTATCATGACTATAATAACACTTCTTTTGTAAGAACAATGTAATTCCAAGTGCAGAAGATCCTAATTTTGGTTGAATTAAGTTTTGTGCATTGATACAACTTTGTGTATTTGGGGTGTGTATGTTTCTTGAGTTTTTACATTTTTGAGGTCTCTTGTGTCCATATGCACAGGAAGTAATTGTAAGAAAACCTCAATGGTTTTCTTCCCCTATAACTTGCAGAGGACTTTTGAGCCTCTTGTAGATTTCCTTTCTTCTTTTCTCTACAGAAAAGAGCAGTTTTCATATTAGGTGTTATTTCATTAGAAAAGTTGTGAACTTTTGTTCACAACAAAACTTCACAGTTGTGAAGTTCAGAACTTTGTGAGCATGTACATTTGGGTAAGGCAACTCTTGAAAACTAAGTCCAAGGTAGCACTTTTCAACCTTTATCCTTCATGAGTAAATACTGTAAATGGATATCCCGCTGCAGCCTACTTGTACAGCTTACCTCCGTGATAAAGGCAAGCAGAGCCAATTGTGCTGCCTCTGTAGGATTCCCTTAGAGTGTCAGGGGTTTTGTGTTGTTTGGTAGGGAGGCCAAGTGAAAGCCTCAACTTCAGCGTCCTCTACTTTTGCAGCCATCACTTTGTTTGTAGTTGATTTTACAGTGGTGAAAATGTAACTGCCCACTCAAAAATGTGTGTATGGATACATTTTAGAAGAATTGTAAGTCGTGCCCTGTGTCTGTTCCATAGCTTTTTGTGTTCTCTGGTGCCTTGTGGAACCAGTGGTGATGTTGCCAGTATAAATGGTTTGCTACAATACTTTCTGCTGTTGTGTGTTATACAGCACTTTGTGTCTTGAATTGAAACAAGGTTTCTTCACACATACTTGCCTGCAAAGAGAGAGGGGAAATAATTTTTTCCCTTTTGTCTTAAGAAGTTTAAAGACATCAACTGTATGTGTTCAGCTGATCAGGAAAAAAGATGGGTTTTGCTTATTCATTGTGCTGGTGCTGAAATTGATTGCATGGGAGTTACTGAAATCACTTGGAGCTGCCACCCTGCTATTAATTAAAGCAATACTGAGTTTTTGCAGGCTCTCTTTAAAAAGGCTGTTTCAAGCAACTTTCTGTTGGTTAGAATATCTGTGGCATTCTGGCTGCCCTGAGAGGCAGAGGTTTTAATGATTTACTGGCAGCACTTTTTAAATTGCATATGAAATGCCTGCCTAAGAAGGTAGAATGCAGCATGTCAGCTGTCCACAGGACTCCTTGTATGATCTGAAATTGGGAGTGAGAGGGACTAGATGAAATGGGACTGACACTGCTAGAGAAAAAGCTGAAATAATGACACTCACAAGATCAATTTTGTGAATTGACAGATTCTCTGTCATTGTCCACTAGATTTGATAATTCAAGGGTGGCTTTAATGGAGTGAGAGGAGCTGGGCAAGCACATTTTTCAGAATCTCTGAACTCTTGAGCTGTGGTCTTCACTATCTGGTTACAGCCAGTCTTGGACAGTTAAATTGCTGAGCAGAGGAGGATATGATTATGTTCTGTTTATTGAATATGTTGCAGAGTTCTGCTTGTTTCCTTTAGTTGCTCAGTATGCCAGCTGTCTGAAGCATTTTATGCTTTCACTTCTGGCCTGACTTCACCCTAGTCCTCCCTATTCCTTGCGTCACACACTACCTTAGGTACTTTCTCCCTGTGTTTAAACTTGACTTCTGACCACAGTCTCATCTTGGCTGCCTATTTGGTATGTTTTTCAGCTTCTCTTTACAGACCTTTGGCCCTGCTCCTGACTTGAACAGATCAACTTGGTATACAGCCTTTGAATTTTCAGATTTGTGTGTTTACTGAACATGAAAATATGTGGTGGAAGTAAAGGTCTGTGTAGCCTTGTGCTCTGTTTTCAGAAGTGGTTAAGAAAAGTAAAATTTAGCTTTCCCTTGGTGTGTATTTTCAGCTTTTTATTGATGACTGAGTTTCAAGTTCACTTAAAGTGTTGGACTTAACCACTAAGGGCCTGGTAGCTGGTGTCTCACAGGACCTTCAGTTGCTGTTTAATATTAAAACAAGAATTCTGTCAGCCTTTTTAGTCCAGTGTCTAAGGAAGTAAGGCTTAATATACTACCCTAATAGGCTAACTCAACAGGCAGAACAAATCCATAGGAAGCTTTCAGTTGCCTCTGTCTTTCAGCATACCAGAGTAATTTTTCTTTGCATGAGGGTGTGTTGCTGTTTGTGGTGCTGGTCATTTGTAAGATAACTCACCTGGTGTTCCTCTGGAGCTTAGTAACATTACAGTAGCTTTCTTTTGGGAAGGTTGTAACAGTAAAGCTCCCAAGTGTGCCCATCTTGTCTGTACAGTTCTCAGATACCAATGACATCAGTGTAGTCTGATGTTTTCTGTCACACTGCCCAAAGGAAAATCTGTCTGCTTGCTTAATTTCATGCGTGATAAATAAGACCCTGCTTGCAGCATGTCCTCAGAAGAGCCTAGGAGTTCTGGAATTATCTTATTCATTCATTGGCCTGAAGTAACCTAAATTCTGTCATTTGAGCCTAATGTAAAAGAAACTTTCAAGTGAAGGCTGGGGATATTGGATCTTTTGCTTTCCTTTATAATGTTTTTGTTGTGGAGTAAATCGTAACAGTGGGGCAAACTCAGGAGTAGCATCACTAAGAAGAAAACAATTATGATACCAAGTGTGGTTTCCCTTGTTATTTTTATTATTTGTTCTGTGTTTGTGGGGTTTTTCCCCCCTATTCTTTGTATGTTAGTCTTTTTGTGGTTTGTTTTGGGGCTTTTTTGTTTGTTTTTACCTCACCTTGACAGTACCCCAGCTGGCCAAAGATGATTTTTGCTCCCCTGACAAGCAATATTGTATAGATATTGTCTAAGAGTGGACATGTAGGAAAAAGTACAGGAGCAAGGTAACTTTTCTGATACGCTCTCTCCTGAGCCATGGCAGCTTATGGGATAAAAGTAGTATTTCAGAGGCTGGCTGAATGTTTGGGAACTTGCTATAAGGTTTGACAGATTCGTTTCTCAGAACCTACAGTACTGAAGGATTTTGGTGAGTTGATGGCTAAACTTCCAGTGGTATAACGCCATAACCAGCAGCTTTTGCTGAGTACAGGGCTGTAATTCCTTACACTGTTTTTTTCTTCACGCTTTAAGCACTGGCTGATCCGTTAATGTAGCAAGTCTATCCTTGACAAAAGCAGATTATACAGTGTCAGTGAACTCTTCTCACAGGGGCTGGAAAAATGAAAACTGTATTTGAGGCAAGTAGAATAGCTGATGTTTTAGTGACTCTTGAGCCTTCAAGTAAGATTACACGATACAAAAATTATTGAAAGGTTTGGAAGACAACCTGCTTAAATAAAGGCATGGAGCACTATATTTGAGGGTGCTTTTCTTGTAGTGCTTTTTGCAAGCACTACAAAAGAGCTATATGGGCTTATTATTTTGAAAGTATTCTTTGGTGTCCTTGTGACGGACATGCATGGAGAGTATCTTGTGGATTGATTTCTGATTTTTTGCTCATGTTCATTTTGTGTCTGGCTACGTACAAGAGGTTTCCCACTGAGCCAGAAAGAGGATGTCTGAGATCAAATTCATCTGGTATGAAGAACAGGCAAACAAGTGACAAGTGAGAAAATGAGCATGCCTTTTCTGTTGACACTGATTCTTCACAAAAAATAACATCAGTGTGTATAATATCTTGGGTGCTGTACCTTTAGCGGAGCTGAGCTGTCATAGAAGACAAAAGCTCTAAAGACAGAGACAGTTTGACTGACAGAATGTCTTTTACAAGCACCTAGGTAGCAGGGAGATTCCTGCTGGTTTGGGAGTGGCTATAGACTGTGTGATTTTTGTGGAGGGAGGAAATGGCCTATGGACAGCCACAGCTGCATTGTTGCAGAAAACTGCATAATATGTACCATCATGTTTTACATTATCTGTGTTGTATATATGGATCTATTAAAAACTGAAAAACTGCAAAATGCCAAAATTTTTAAAACTGTTTTCCTCACAGAAACTTGAGAAAATATTTCAATAAAGCTGCAATAATTCAGCTGAGTATTCGATTTTGCAGTGTAATATAATAAAGCAGTTATGTTCTTTTATATTAGTTATGTCCAGAGGACTAATTGGTGGTGGGGGGGGAGTGGGGATGTATGGAGGGGGTGGGGGATCGTTTTCAAACAGAGGGAAAATAAAGGCTGGTCCTTGTTTTTGTTTTCCCTCCTCTTCAGCTCTGATCAAATATATCCGACCAGTATTTGTATCTCGGTCAGACCAGGATTCTCGCAGGAAAACTGTTGAAGAGATAAAGAGGCGTGCCCAGTCTGATGGTAAATGGCCACAGGTACTGTATTCTGCTACTCTGTAAGAGATGGTATTTGGCATTTCCAGGCTTTGGATATGCAGTTTGCTTTTTTCATTGTGGGTGGCTTTAGATGGTTTGGGGTGCTGTGCGTGTGTGTGAAATTTTCCCCACCCCCTCTTTCTAGAAGATAAAATGTAAGATTCTCATCTGTCTCTCATTGCATTGTGTTTTGGGGGAAACTGGGTAAGTACATGGCTAGACAGCTCTTAAGTGGTACTAAATGGACAGACAACAGCAGGTGAGGAAGTCCTCTAAGAGGAAAAAAAATGAAGTGCTCAGCAGAATACCTGGAAAAGCACTGTGTGTTCTCACCCGTCACAAGATTATGGCATTGCCATTGTTGGCGATGTGGTACTGGGCAAGGCAGCCCAAAAAATATGGATGTTCCAATACCCACCTCTGTTAAAACACATGGTGAAAACATGGATAGAACTAGTGGCCCAGGACTTTTTTCTGCACCTTAAATGTGGCTGTTTATAATGTGCCTTGAAAGAGACACTGGGAAGGAAAGGATGATATGTAAGATCTCAGATTCCTAGAAGCGTGTGATTATTTTGCAAATTTGAAGCATTCCTGTGGTGTTTTTGAGAATAGGGTACTGTATATTTTTATGGGATTATTGCTGCTAACAGTGGGTATACCTCTGCATACTGGACGGCAAAAATGTTATGAACAGCTATAAACAATGTGACAGGTGATTTACAGCTTTTGCATCATGAGTTTCATGATTAGATTTCAAAGCAAGCTAGGACAGAGTGGGCAAAACTAGTAATGTTAGTTCTAGTCCATTGCTTTGTTCCCTTATAATATGGATTGGGGGGGGGGGGCTTTGTTTGTTTGTTCTTGTACAGTCTACCCTGTTCTGCTGAATTGGTTCAACTTAAGTGTTTTTGCTCCTTTTTTTATAATTCTCTTCAGGTATTTTCAGTGTCTGTCATTTGGGCATCTGTGCACATGCCCCGTAATAGCAAAGAGAAAATAACAATTTTCTTAGCCTGCAAGCAGGAATTTTGTTCTGATACACAACAGACTATGATACTTTATCTACCACAAAAATCTTCAGTGAAAATACTCATACTTAACAAGTGTTTCTGGTCATTGTTAGTGTTTCAATAAATACAGTTATTATTGGAGGGCAAGAAAGAGGCAAAAATCACCAAAAAAGAAAAATATTTTTCCTATTAAGGTAGAAGTTTACTTGACATCTTCAGCAACTTTTTTTTTTTTTTACTCTAACTGAACTGTCTGTCATGGAGAACATTTTTGCTGTAGTCGGTTAATAACAGCTTTAAAAATATGTGTTTATAAATAAATTCACATTGAAATAGTTCCTAAAAGTCAACTTTTTTTTTACTTCAAGATAATGATATTCCCAGAGGGCACTTGCACAAACCGATCCTGTCTAATTACATTCAAACCTGGTAGGTATTATGCTCATTTCTCTGTTCTCTACAGAATGTCCTTGTATCTTCATATTCTGAAATACCAGTTGCATTTTAATTTGCTTGCTGTTGCAGAAGTTGAGTTAAAAACCTTGCAATAGGGTAAAATTGGAATATAAATTTTGATGCTACAGGAAGATTGTAATTCTACTATTGAACAAAACAGTTTCAATAATTCAGGTTTTTTCTAGGCTTCTGAGATGCCTATGAACTGGAGGAGTAATGTTTCTTCCTGGGTTTTTGTTTATATTCGTGTCTTTTTGCTTTTTTTTCCCTTGCTACCTCCTATATTGGGTCTGTCATGCAGCATTTAGATATTCACTGCTACCTTAAGCTTTGTAGTGTATCTATTTCAGGCTGCCCAGCATTTGTTCTGTATTGTATCTGGCTGATCCTTCTCTAACTCTTCTGTGGAGTTGCATTCTGAAGATGGCACAAAAATGTTTCCTGTGTAACACTGTTACAGAGGCTGCCATGTTTTACAGTTTTTACATAACATCCATGTTCTAAGCTCTTTTCAGTAGTATCACCCATTTAGTTTATCAGATTAGTAGAGGTTGTAATGCTGAACATTGCTGTAGCTGTAAAGTGCATTTCCAGTAGGGACAAATGCCAGTACTGCAGCAAACCACTGATCTTTAATGTAAACTTGCCTTTATCATGTAGGTAGGGAGATGGTCAATAAAGGAGCTTCAGTGAGCAAGGCAGCTGTGAATGTGTTTCTGGACTTCCTAGTTTTCCGTGTAGTTTCTGGTCTTACTGTGTGTCTTGTGTTTTGTTTGGCTTGCAATTTAAATATCACTCTTAGAATATCATGCAGTGAGTCAGCACTGTGGTTCCTTGCACTGATTCATTTGGCTGAAAGAATCTCAGACTTTTCTCTCAGCTGTTACCTTTTTAGATGATGGAATGGTGATTAGGGAAACATCTGCTTCTGTAGCTCTGTGCTCTCCTTCTCTCTCCACCTGAATCCTGACCATGCTTTGAAAGCTAGCCTGAATCCTTCATGTAAAATCCCGATTTCCTGCCCTCCCTCTGTGCCATAGACATTCCAGGCACCATGTATTTCATCCTTACATTCTCACTCTATCTTCCTCTGCTCTGGTCTAGGACATGCTGCTGTCTGCCTCTTGACTGTCTCACTTTTCCTACTGAAACATTTGTCTGTATCCATCCAGCCTTCCGGAAATCCTTTGCTTCAAAATTCCTCACTTATTCCTCACATGTTACTTTAGGTCTCTATTCAAGTTATTTCTATCTGGATGCTTTTCCCCATTCTACTAACATGGCCTATGCTCCTTGCTCTTACTACACATTTTCTTGGTTTTGTGTTTAAATGGTAGTGTTGTCATCTACCACTCAGCTTTTGTCAGCTTTGAATTATTTCAAAAGTTACTTAGACTGTTCTTTGAGACTGAGCAGAAGGTACCACTGGCCTCCAAATCTCTTAAGGATTCTATACAGACCACCTTCATTTAAAGATGTTTATACTCCATAAACAATTACTCCTTTTAAGTCCTAACAGTTATTTTGTAAAGCAAATGTTATGCTAGGAATACAGTGTACTTCAATTATTCTGTTCTTAATTTTGATTGGAATATTAGGGAGATCTTAGTAAACTGTCAAGAATAACATAATTTGAGTGAAATTCTTAATTTCTTCATGAGAGAAAGAGATGTTAAGAGAAGTCTTGAACCAGATACTTATTATGCTTACCCAGTCTTTATATTAGAAACCAAGAAAATGCTTAGCAAATGACATGGAACTTGTGCTGCTTATTTATCACAACTGTAATTTTCCCATGAAGTGAAGCAATGCTTCTGAATAATAGCTCTAGTTCAATATAGCTCTAGTTCAATTTGTAACTATTAGTTTTCCCATAGCTACAGAATAGAAGTGACATTAATTCTGTTATTTCAGAGATGACAAATTGCCTATAAATTATTGTTTTTCAGATAAAAATAGAAAGCTGCTTTTACATAAGAAAGCCCAAGGTCTTTACCAAAAATATTGTTGACCATAGGGAATAAATTAATTTAACTATCTTGTGCATGCTCATTTTTTATATTCATTTATTGAGCTGAATTTGGTACTAAGCTTTGACTTGTGTAAATGACAATATGTATAAGCGCTAGAGGATAATTTGAGAGATAATGTAAACAAACATTTTTAATTAGCTATCTGCTGAAAAGGAGTCATTCTCCAGTGCTTGCTTTTTTTGATTATTTTCAAGGCTACTTTCAGATCCTGTTGTTTCATCATCACCTACTTCCTATCAGTCTGTTAGCTGTATAATTTTTTTCTTGCTGCAGTAAATTTCTTCTCTACCAAAATTCACTATGAATTAATTCTGTATTGTATGTGCCTTCTAGGAGCATTTATTCCTGGGGTTCCTGTACAGCCAGTGGTTTTACGTTATCCAAACAAACTGGTAAGTTCAGCTTGCAAATTCAGGGCATTTTTCTTTAAGTGCATTGGCCCTTGTGTAACCTTTTAGGTTTAAAAATTCAAAAATCATTACTAAGGTGTTGCTAGTTAAGCATTTATTCATTAAACCTCAAGCAATATTAGACAGTTTAAATGTTTCTGCTTTGAAAGTTGTTCAGGTTGTTACAAGAAGTACTCAACAAATGGCAATTTCTGTCCAGGATCTGTGTTCCTAAGTGCTCCCTGTTCCTGCAGTGTTTGCTGGAGAGTTTTGTTAATGTCATTTATTGCTGGAAGATGTTTCTGCATCTCCTGCCTTTGGGGGTGTTAGTCATGAATTACTGTGACTGGCTGAATGGTATAAGATAATGTCTTGAGGTCCTCTGCACCTTTATAAAGCGTCATCTTGTCTGTTTTACATTCACCATGCCCTTGGCTAAGGAATTAGCCAATTTGGACTAGTCCTCCAATGTAAATTATATTCAGGTAAAATGCAGATTATAGTGTTTATTTACAATATCTGATGTTTTTGTCTCCTTCTGAAGTGGAATTTACTTAAGGAGGGTATGGAGAGTGTCAGAAGTAAAACAAGGACCACCTGGTCGCTTTTACTGGTGCATGTCGCATCAGAAGGTCTGTGACTAGCCCATTAACAACCCCGTGCTCTAAGGAAGGATTTTTTCTTCTTGGTACCTGAGTAGCTTACAAATATTTCCATCCACTGTTCTTTCTGTCATTTACAGGTTGATATAAAACCTGTCATTTACAGGTGGATATAAAACATATGTGTGATTAAAAAAGAAAAGAATCCATGCAAAGTTAATATACATAGACCACCATTTGCTCTTGGCTGAGTCAAGGTGTAATGGCAATCAAGTAGTTTGCAGTAACCCCAAAATTATCTTGGCAGATGCTGTGACAAGAGTAGCAGCCTGGTATGCTTACATAGTATCAAGTGCATTGTAGCAGGCTGCCTGGGATTTTTCATTACATAATTGTTATATTTTCAGGAAGAAATATTCATTTCTAAAAATAGTTTGAGGTTTTGGTGGCACTGCCATTTAAAATGGCAAACATGCTTGTGGCTTATGTCATATTAATATGCCTTGTAACTTTTTGTTAATGTTAAGCCCATAGCAATATAAAGCTATCAAATGTTATTTTGTAAATATCTTCAAAATCCAGGTGCATACTGAAATGTCATTATTGCCTGTAGTACATAATATTCAATGTTTGTAAACCAATAGTAAATGTTCCTATAACTTTAACACTTTACTAACAGAAATTTGTGAGCTTCTAACATTGACGTAAAACAATATAAATGTAAATGAAAATTTTCATAATTTTTATGTTACTGCAAACATCTCATAAAAGAAATTCTAACTAGTTATATAGATATCCATTGTGAGCTGGCATGAGTTTGTGTATGGGACTTAAGTTTTTCCTACTACTTTTACTTGCTGTAAAACACTTCATTTTCAGTGCCTTACTGAGTCATTTAACCTCCTATGATCTAATTCCTAGAGACCTTCCAAAGGTCTAAGCATTAATGACAGGAGTGATAATTGCTATTACTGCTTTATTTTTACATTAGCTTGGGGGTTGCAGAAGAGTTGCATCAGAGTTAGAAGGAAGAGAGGCAGAAGGAATATGATGTGGTACATGAAGGTGAGGTTTATTTTGGTTAGGAATACGGAGTTAGATTATTTTGTTTCAATTATTGAGCTATTCTTATCTCAACCTAGAAGGCAAGGCTTACCTTTTCTTCCCAATTCTCTCCTCCCAATTCTCCTGACACGCCAGGGGAGGAGGAGTAAGGGAGCAAGCAGCTGTGTGGTACTCAGTTGCCAGCTGGGATTAAACCACAACACATGTAAGAACAGAGTAGGGAATGAGAATTGGTTTTCATACACTAGGATAACATTTTTAACAAACTTTAAATGTCTCTGGCTTTCTATTTGTTGCCTTGTTTGACTGATGCATATTATAATTTTAGGTTTAGAAAGGAACTTCTTAAGATCTTTGCTTAGCCAGTGAACTCCAGGTTACATTGTGTGCAGTCACCCCACTGTGTTTTGCTTGAAGTGCCTGCTCTGATCCATGTTCAGAGCTTTGAGTTTCACAGTATAGATGACAACAGTCTTCGATTTGAGTGCACCTGGCTGTTTTGAGAGACTTTTTGAGATCAGAACCTGGGTTGAATGTGGTAGGTGTCTGCACTCTGCCATGTTTATTTCATTGTAGTCTGTTGAAGAACTAGGGAAAGCACTACTGTTCTGCAGTGGGCTGAAACATGGCAAAAGTGAAGAAGTAAATTCAGAGTTTTTTTATAGCAAATAAATCTAGTTCTGGTTGCTGTGAAGAGCTCTGTGTTTTATATTTTTTAGAGTTGCTCCCTGAATAACAGTTATCTTGAGGCTTGTGGCTGTTTGTATTAGATGACATCTCTGGTCCTGTATCAATGCTTTTTAGTAGTAATATTTTAATATGTTTCTCTTCTTGATGCATGAGCAGAAAGAAATTTTAACGCTTAAAATGTTGTTTAGACCTGATATTCCAAATTTTGCTACTGGTTGTCTAGATTGGTAATATTTTAGGTATTGGATGCCTGAGAGCTATTACCTATATTCTAATTAGAATATGGGCTCTAATGTCTGCGCCCATAGGTTCTCTACTGCAATCCTTTTTACAATTTTTTACTTTTTTCCCTTGTTTCTTCATTTGAATTTTCTGTCAGAATGCTGTTACTTATGAAATTATGAAAATATATAAACTATATACCTGTTTAAATATCACAGAGCCATTTAAAATGTATTTTATGTCTAAATATCTTCCACAAGTAACTGTGCTATTTAATAAGCGGTTTGGCAGCAGCTCTTGTACAGTTTTGGTATATCAGGGTTACCTGAACCTATAAAAACACAGCCAATCTCCTGTTTGAAAGTTGGCATATGATTCTCAGTATCTTCTTGTGTCAAATACAAACTCTATGGAAGATGGCTCTTCTCTTTATTTCCTCCTGTGCTGAGGGGAAATAACAGAGGGGATAACATTCAAGGTCAGCTTGGATGGAGCTCTGGCTAGCAGGATGTAGTTGAAGATGTCCCTGCTCATTGCAGGGGAGTTGGAATAGATGGCCTTAAAAGGTCCCTTCCAACCAAGCTATTGTATCATTTTATGTACTTCCACACAGTTTAAAGTATGCATTACTTGGATACAATAAATGCAAAGAATGCTGTCAAAGAGAATGTTGTCCAGAAGTGTAAGCTGGTAGCTGTGATAAATATAAAAGGTAAGTTAGTTATGTAGGGAAAATCCTACTTCCTTTTCTCTGCTTGTTGTTATTATCATAAAGATATTGATGATGCTGATAGGAGTCTCCTATAACAGGGATCTGCCTCTTGAAGATCAGAATCCTGTTTTCCCCTAGATAGCGTTTCTGGCCATTATCCCTGATGCATCCTGATATTTTGACCAAAAAAAAAGCATGCCTGTCTATTATGACATTCACATTGGGAATTTCTTGCAGGATTGTTGATAGATAACATGGCTTACTTGAGTTTGACTTGCCAGCTAGCCAGCATGAGGCTGGATTCTGCAAATACCTATGCACTGTTCAGTGATCCAGACACTTTAATGGAGATCACATTTTTTCTTTATCTCCCTCTGCGCTGTTGCAATTTAGAGAGCTGAGTTGGAGATGTGTAGTGCTTGGTGTTCTATAGGGCAGATCTAGTCTCTAGATAAGTTATCAGCTATCTACACTGGTTTCTCATGGTTTGTAATGAAAGTTCTTTGTGGGAAAAAGACAAAACCCATAATATGTTTACTTGCAGTATTATCAGAGACATCAAAATAGCCAGAAACTGTGTAACAGTAAAACTATCCACATTATAGTTCTAAAATATCACTAGATGGAGGTGGGTTTTTTTTAATGCAGATAAATTGATTGCTGCAGATAGACTCATCCTTTATCATATTTCATTTGATTGAAAATAATTGTTAAATGTCAAGTTTTGAATTTTTAGTGGATCTTTAATCACGTTTTTCACCTTTTATGGATGGCTTTGCTTTCTTTTATTTTTACTTTAGGTGGCCTTTTGCTCTAAATGGTAATTTAAACTTGAGTTTAACTTGTTTTTTCATGGTCATGGTACGTGTGATCACCTGAAATCTCTAGAATGGGTTTGGATGGTAGCATAGAAGTGAACTGGAACATGTTCAGTAGGTTGAAAAAATTATCTTTCTGATCAGGTCTTTCAGAAACCTGAATTTAATTAGTCCTCTTGTCTTTACATTAATGCCTTAACTCTTTTTCCCCGTTAGAGCAGAACTAATTTTTAGGTTTTTAGATTCTTTTTTGTACACTCAAATCACATCTCCAAGTCGTGCAGGTTTTTTTCCTGTGCTGTTTCTTAGTATTAAAAGTATCTTAGTATTTTCCTGTGCTGTTTTTAGTGTTAAAAATTGGATGATTTTTACTGTCATATTCCTAGCTGTTATATATTGCTTTACAGGTCTCTGTTCCCTTTTTGCTATTTGCATCTTGTTCACTTCTTTTACTGTGATTTGTCCTCTCTTAGTGTTTCACACAGTGTTCTTTTTGGCCATATAGCTGTATAAAAGATGGGCTGATTCCTAACAGGGTTAAGATCTTCTGTAAAGAGGGCATAGAAGTTTCCATGAAAGGTTCTTAGTAATATATTGTCAGTTATGCTGCATGCAGTGTAAAAAGTTGAAAGCACAATAATTAATTGCAAATGTCACACTTCTTTTTTTAGGACACAATCACATGGACATGGCAAGGGCCAGGAGCGTAAGTGGTTAATGTTTTATTGCTTTTATCATTGCTTGCCTCAATTAGATTTTATTTATATGACTTATATGCATATATAGTCAACCAGTTGCTGGTTATTTGATTATTTTTTGGGATTAATTTATTTTTTATCTGTTATTCTCTAATTATACTAATAGTTATTAAGAGGACTCCAGGTGTAAACTTGTACTTCAGCTGCTATGATTTTGTTGGTTTGCAGAATGAGTTTTAGGTTTTTATTTCAAATTTATTATATTAGCCAAGTGCCTGAAGTAAAATAACTTGCTTCTGCTCTACGTATTCTGTGGCCTGCAAGTTGATTTGGTATATTACTGTATAAAATCTGGGGTTGTTATTTGAAATTGTTCTGCTCTCACGAAAACAGTTGACCCACTCAAAGACTTTGGAGATACTGTTTCCATTATCTTGTCTGAATATCATTTCAACTTTTTATTTAAACAAAATATTATTGTAGAAGTTCTTTAGCAAATACATGTAATATAAAATATTAAACAAAGCAGTTCTTGCTTTTAATGTGTTTAAAAAAATGTTAGGCATTATTTTCTTGTTGGGATTTGAATAGAAATCCCAAAATGTTTAGATCAAGAGTAAAACAACAAATTTTGAACCCTAAGTAAGGGAGAGTTGGCTTCTGTGGATTATGCTTTGTATTGTTTTGAACGTCCCATTTGGCATCCTATATTTCAGTAATAATGAGAAAACCATGGGGATTAGCCAAGATTCAACTAATTTAGAATTTTGTCAATTAAGTTTTGCACTTAGGAACCAGGTCTAATTAAGGACATGATTTTGAGACTTGAGAAAATCATGGATCACTTGCAAAGGTTCAGCGTACAAATGATTTGTCACTTTGGAAGTAGATGAGTCCATGGTTGTGTATAATGTAAACAGACACTGCAGCATTTGCTGCATAAAGGGATTTCTGTTCTTCTGAGCTCCTACCTCTTCCCTTGCCTTTGCACTGCAATTCATCTAAAAACCTCAGCCATAGAGGAGAAAGGTGAGCAACTTACTTCCACCTTAGTATCCTAAGTGAGGGCTCAAGAACACAGAGGAAGATGGAAGAAACCTGTAGGTGTCTTGCCTCAGATCACTATTATGTCTAGAAAACCCTTATTCTGAAGTGTTGACCTCTGCTAATAAAGGGAAATTAAATTAAAGCTGAATCAGAATCTGCAGCAGCATGTGATGTTATACAAATTGACTGGGTCAGTTTAAATTACAGCTTGGCTTAATTAGGATTAATTCTCCTGGATAACCTAAAATGTATTTGTGATGTCTTAACAGAAAATGCTGTCAAGACTGATAACAGGGTTCCTTTTCTCGGCAAACACTTCTTTATGTTTTGGCTAACACTAAAGCAGAAATCTGGAAATGTTTTGGTATCTAGGAGTATTCTGTTTGTTTAAAGGTGCTGTAGCCTGTTAAATGGATTGAAAACTTGTCACTTGCAAACTTAAACACTCATTGAAAGTAATGTTTTTACTGCTTTGACAGTATTCAGAGCAGATCAACTGAGTCTACCTTGAAAATAAAGAATGACCATAGTTGAGTTAGACACAGATTCTATCAGTTTTAAATTTTTATTTAAATTCAGGGTTCAATCTTTGAGGATTACAGAGATGGCAGAGAGAAAAGTTTACTTGTAACTTGTTGGGGGTTTTTAATGCTCTTGAACAAGGACCTAGAAACCAGACTTTCGTGTTTCTGTCAGGAGTGCAGACTTCAAATTACAGGCTCCATTGTTGTTCCTGATTCTTTGCTTTGATGTGTTGGAAGCTCAATAAGAAGGAAGTGAGGGGGAAATGTTTTGCAGCCCTGCATGGGTGCATAACAAAATGAGTAGGGTTTTGCTTCTAGGAACTGCCCTTTTTCTGTGTAAGAGGATTTTGGCCAGCAATCCCCTCACAATAATTGACTACTATAACTGCCTAGATAGTGTATGAAAATGTGGCTACTTGACACTGCTCCTTAATTTAGGTTTACTAAATCCTTTCCTGGATTTGAATCTTAATGCTTTCAAAGGTCAAGTTGATTCCAGTTATCTTGTATCTTAGGCTATTAAAACACACATACTGCATTTCATTAACAGACTTTGGAAGTATAATGCACTTTGATTCCAAACTAAGGTAATGATAAAATCTCAGTGGTTACATAATTAATGTTGCCAGCTTTGTGCTGAATACAGCATTTTTCTGAAACAGACTTATTCTTCCTTTAACATGTCATGCATATATTACCTTTCACTTTTTGTGTTCCTGTTTTTGACTATTTTTTAAGAGGCCAATTCAGTGTAAACTACTTTTGTTCCACCTTACAGAATTTAATATGTAGAAGTACTTTCAAAAGCCTTTTCTGTTAATTTTTATCTGAATATGATGTTACTACAAGTAGGATGCTACGTGAAGACTTTGGAGCATAATGTGTTACAGTTTCACTACATACTTTTTTTTCCCTTCATCCTTCCCTATCTTTTTCCCCTTTTAGGTTTGAAATTCTGTGGCTTACTTTATGTCAATTTCACAATTCTGTGGAAATTGAGGTCAGTAAAAAAAACTCCACTGTATTCTGAGCAGTTGTAGAATACATAATATTGTACATAATTCTGCAGTGAAAGTTTGTATTCATATCTTGGATGTATGTCGTAAAAACAGTTTAAGACACCACTTATATTTTAGACAAATGGCTGTTGTATCTGAAAATACAGTCTAAAAATGGAATAGCAAAATACAGTTTTCCAGTTGGCATAAGACTTTAATTTTTTAGTGATTTGAATTGAGTAGATAAATTTCTGGCTCACTTTAGAAAGTCTTTTGTGAACAAATTTCTTGTCTTCTAATGATAGCCTGATTGCTCTTTTGATTAGTGTACCGACTTTGTGTGTTAAGACATTCAAGTGTGTGAATGCTGATGTATGAACTAAGAACTGTCTTGTAGAGAAAAATTGTAGGTGGTTTCTTATAGGCCATATAAGTTATTTAATATCTGGCTATTTTTTTTATTCGGCTGCACTGTTCAGAATGTGAAGTTGGAAAGCACAAAGAAAATCTATTTATATTCTTAACTTTATTTTGAGGAAAATACTGTAATTTTAAGGCTGAAGACTATTGTAGTGAAAACATGGAAACAATTATAGCCTTGCCTTTCAACTTGTCCTAATGCATTTTACACAGAGTAATTACATTTTTGTGGACAATTACAGTATTTGAAGTGTGTCATATAGGATATTTGACAGATGTTCTGCAATTCTTTTGCTTTTTGAATAATGAAGCAGCTATTTAGGTCTGATAGATGGAACTGATGGCAGGGTAAATCAGTAGGAAGAACTATTGCATGTTTTCATACACTGTGTTACAATAGTAACATATATTGCATGCTGATCACTGTACTTTTCATTGCTCTGTATTTGCTTATTTTTGCAATCAGTCATTCTCAGAATTAATGAATATGCAAAATACCAGCCACTCAGTAGTTGTATGTGTTGTAAAAATTTGTGGTTTGTGTTATCAATTCAGTTGGATAAAAAACAAGTGGGATTTCCAGAATAGTGACCTGTGTTTTGCAGAAGGGCCAGGGAGTGACTGCCTCACTCAGGGCTAAGACAAACCAGCTGGTTGGCAGGATCTTTACCCTTTCTCAGGAACATGGTTTTCTGCCCTAGGCAAGTAAAATGGGTTCTTTCACACACTAGAGTGAACACTGCTGAGCTTTCTTGATTTTTGAGGCAGCAGCTGCTAGCAGATGTTGAGTTTCTGTAACTCTTACATAACAAGCTGTGATCTTTGGTAGTTCTTGAGGGGAAAAAAGCAAACTAGTGACCTTCTGAGATAGCCCATACTAAAGAAGGGGCTGGCAGAGGATAGAGGAGCAGACCTGTTTGCAAGGTTGCTCTCAAGTATGGGGCAGAGTAATACCTCAGGCCAGTATGAGCTGTGTTAATGTGAATGAGAAAACAAATGTGTTTGGATATCAAAGTTTTGAAGTTAAAATGCAGATGGGACTCAAACAGAATGTTGATGCCTGAATGCCATGGATACTACCTGGATAACTGTAGACCAATTAACACCAACATAGTTAAAAATAATTTACTTCTGACTACTTCCAGATGCTGCCTTCTTGTGTCAGTTCTCTGAACTTTCCCAGTTTACTCATGCAGCTTTTGGTACAGGAGATTCCAACTCAAATGCTGTCAAGGCTGTTCTGGAGCTGTAGCAGTTGAATCTGTTTTTGTAAGGATGTGCAGTGAGGATATATAGGAAATATTAGTTGGTTTGTGTTTGAAGTCATATTTTTGCTCTGGTCTCTGAAGCTTGTTGGTTGATACTCCTGCTCTGTTCAATCAACACAGAGATACTGGCAAATACCTACCAGCCTGGATACTGCAGTTAGTGCTGATGATCCAATAATTCAGGAAGACATATGACAAAACACAAACTCAGAGTTTTATTTTTTTATTAAATGATAGCCAGTAAGATTTAACAGCCAGCAATCAGGATCCAAACTTTGCTAGTCTGGGCTTCTCTGCATGTAATATATGTTCTGGCATGTTGTGTGTGTCATCCAGCGTGTGTATTGAGAAGCAAGCATCTATGTAGGTTTTATAACAGGTTTCTGTAAATATTCACCCATCCACCCATCCTGTACTTAGAACTGACATGCTGGCAATGTGAAGAAGGATATATGATCATCTGCACATGTAGTTTGTGTTGGCTCATGTCTGTTTGTTTTACTGACCTGTCTACTTCAGTGTTTGTACATCCACGACAGTCTGCAGCAGCTGAGAATTCTTCTCTTGGTTTTGTTAGTCATGTTGAAATGATTGTGCTGTTTATGTTGAGTTAGGCACAGACATGCAGAACACCTCTGAAGTCACCTCATATTCAAACTTCTGTGTTTGAACAAATTACTTGATAGCCATTTGCAACTCAAATAAATGAGGTTTGGAAGTTGAAGGAGCAGTCTTTCCATCTCTGTTAACTTCACAGTCTTTGTGGTTTTGTATATTATATGAGGCTGGTGTACCTGCTTGTAATGTAAACTTTGACAGGAGTCAAGTGTTTTCAGCTGCAGTGGTGCATGTAGGGAAAACTCCAGCAAAACTCAAAATAAATTCAATATTTGTCCTTTACAGGAAACAGGTGAATGTCCAATAGCAGTGTTTGGGTACTGTTGATCATACAGTTATGTAATTTTAAAAGCGCAGCTAGCTTCATGGTTATTGAGAAGTGTTTGCTGAAATTATAAACTTTAAAATAAAGACCAACAACTTTACCCGGTTGTTAGTTTCTGTTTCAAAGACTAGTGTGAAATTTCTGGGTCATAATTCCCATCTTCACTACCCATATGTAATTATATGTATACAACTAAGCTTCTTGCTGCTTTTTTTCTAATATAGAAGCTTTACACAGGATTGTGAGCATTTTGCTCGCTTAGTGCATAAATTATCTCACTGTGTGGCACTACTGAGAGAGTTGTCTGTCTGGTACGGAGTAGGCGTGATGATCAGAGTGATTTGCTCTTGTTCCTCCCATCTGAGAAGTTAGTCGCTTGGCAGAATGAAATGTTTTGAAGGTTTTATTGGTGAGACTGGCCATGATCTTGGGAATTACGTAATTTTTCAATGGACACTTAAAAACAGCTTTAAATACTGGAAGATATTTTAATGTAGGCTGTGCCGTTCCAAAAGCTGCCCTTTCTATTGTGGGTCTCCAGCAGTTCTGGTTTAATTTTCCCCTTTCCAACATAAATTGTTCAGTGGTTCTCTGGTCATCTGCATTCATTTAGATTTTTTTTTTTCAATGGAGTGTTAATGGCTCATGTCCCATTAGAAGGAAAAAAAAATTCAAAACATCCAACAGCAGAAAATAAAAACACTGCTCGTATGTATATTAGGCAGTTGTACATGATTTCAAAATGTGCAGGGGGACAGTAGATACCTGATGTCCTTAAAATTTGGATTCTTAATTTTTAAGTTATAAAACAATATTCCTTTAGCATGTGCTTTTTTTTGGTTATCTGGAAAGAGCTGAGCAATACAGGAGGTAAGTGAGGTTGATGCAAGAAAGTGCTAATACTTCTAAATTATTTTAAAATTCTGAGTCCCACTTAGGAAATGAAGGTAAAACTCTGCTTGGGTTCCATGTCATAAGAAATTAGCAGAGTCAGTGTTGTATTAATTTCTAGACGTGTGACATATACTTAAGCATTTAAAAGTTTAATTTTTAATATTTTCTGTAGTCTTAGTACAATTTTCTGAGTAACAACAAACTGTATACAATTTTCACGATAGTGCTGTAAGAGATTGTATAAAATGTTAAATATTTTTGGTATAATTCAGTTCTCTGTATGCAGTTTCTACCCGTGTATATTCCTTCAGAAGAAGAAAGAAAAAATCCAGTGTTATATGCCAATAACGTCAGGCGTGTAATGGCAGAGTAAGTATGTCGTAATTCCATATAAAAATAGATGTGTGATTTTAAATTTAGACTGAAGAAAATATCACGAAATCAAGTCGGTGTGGTTGTCTGCCTGCAAAGAACCTTGTAGTCTGCAGGAGTGTCTGCAAGACCTTTTACACAGCAGTTGCTTTCCCCTCTCAGGAGGCAAGGGAGCCACAAATACAGCAAGAACTGTTGGAATTGATGGGTTTGGAATATTTCTTTTCGGTTTGTTCTTTTGGGGATTTTTAACATGTCTTCATTTAACAAGCCAGTTCTGCTTACTCCAGTAGGTATTTAGTCTTTTGGGGGAAGGATATGGTGGAATTTTAGGAAAGTTATGTAACTGAATTTTGTGCTATTGGGGTTGCATTTTAACTATGACTGTTTTAATGAGGTTAAGAATAGTTTCATGTATTCATTGTTAGCCTGTAGTATTTCAGACAGTAAAGCGCAGTGAAGTGGCTTTACTTCCATTGGAAACAGAGGACTGATACAATGTAAATTAATTGAAGTTAATGTTAATGTGAAGACAGTTAAAACACTTGTCTATAGGGTATAATAAAGGCAACATTTAATACTTTCACTCTTTTGTTGCATTTTTATTAATGTCTTTTTCATTTATTTTTTGTTCTTTCAGTAAATCTTCCATTAGTCAGTAGATAACTTTCCATATTTACAGTGAACCCTCAGGCCTGTGATTACTAATAACTCTTGAGAGGTTTATGTATCTTCCTAATCCTGATTTTGAAAGAACTTGTGAAATCATAATTTCCTTTGTGCAACTTCTCTTCCATTTTCAATTTAAGCCAAAGGCCAGTTTGCAGGTAGTAACTGAGAATTCTTGTCTGCTTGAACCCACGTCTGTGAGTTTCCTTACGGATGTTGAGACAATAATATAACAATAGATCCATTGTACAAAAGGGCATTGCTCACAAGAGAAAAGAACAAAAGGACCTGTTTGAATCATCCTGTCTTGGAGACAAAAATCTTTGAGGCACTGGCCTCAAAGACTTTTGTTGTTAATTAAAGGCCATCACTTGGCAAGTGTTGTCCTCAGACTTTGTGTAGAAGGCCAGTTATTAAATCTTCATTCTGAACTCTGCTCCACTCACATAACAGGGATTGTGTGCTGTAAGGAAAAACTTTGAAAGCCTACAAAAGTTTACAACAACTGGCATGTCGCAAGCCTTCCCCTCTGAGTGCACTTAGGAGGAAAAAAGTGATTATGTTTCTCCCTCCCACCCCTGAGGAATTAAGCATTTTTGGTCACAGAAGAGGAGTGCAGATCCAACAGGAAGACTGTCAAAAGGGAGATGTCAAAAACGGCTTTGGGATGAAGCAGGGGCTGTAGATGCTGTGTTAATGTGAATGGGAAAACAAACGTGTGTGGATATTGAAGTTCTGAAGTCAAAATGCAGGTGGGAATAAAACAGAATGTAGATGCCTGGGTATCATGGGTAACTGTAGACCAATTAACATAAACATAGTTTAAAATTATTTACTTCTGACCACTTCCAGATGCCTCCTTCTTGTGTCAGTTCTCTAGACTTACTCATGCAGCTTTTGGTACAGGAGATTCCAACTCAAATGCTGTCAAGGCTGTTCTGGAGCTTGGAACTCAAGTACCTCAGGTGCTGTTTGGTGCTAGCATTGCACTCTGCATTGCTGAATAAAGGACAATATTACTGCTTCATCTAGATTTTCTCTAGGATTGAGTTAGTGGCAGTGTAGCATCTTATTGTCAAGAGGTCCTTTTGGGGATCTCTTTAGGTTTCTTACCCCTCTTCCTCATCATATTTCTCTGGCAGAGAGTCTAATTCTACTGGATATTTTACAGCATCAAAGGTGGCGCTCTCAGGTAGTAATGATTTGTGAGTCTAGAACCAGTGTTGTGGAAACCTTGTGTCTTGCTCTTGATTTCAGATGGAGTTGATAGAAGTTGCTGAGTGCAGCAATAGATACAGTTTCTGCTCTTGAAATCATTTGCCTTCACAATAATCTTAATTTTTGAACAGCTTCTATTTAGCATTGAACAAAGCATTTGACAAGACATCTTTATCTTATGCGGCTTCTGCTTGTTGACTTTCTGAAGAATTTTTGGTTTACCCATATTTGACTAGCTTTCCTGTGGGTGGCCACAGATGTGATTGCAGTCTCTAGATACTCAATTTATATATGTATGTGAGTGAACACTTAACTATTTTGGTAAGGAGGTGCTGTCATTCACTGAGGTTTGTTTCTTTAGGACATCAGTTTCTTGCACATTGGGTGAATTTACTTGCCCAAAAAGTGAAATCCAGAGTGTGCCTGTGTTATCAGAACTGGAATGACTCATACAGATAGCCACTGCTACTGAACATGCTTGACATCTTTTGGGTCGTTTTCTTAATTTGCACAAAAAGTATGTGCAGAATAGATTAATCTGCTGTTTAAAATATGGTCCCTACTTATACCTTAACGATATGCTTCACATTTAATTTTCTCATACAACCTATTTTTGAGTGAGTCTGTCTTGTTTGGTCTTTCTGGCCTTGTTCTGACTCCTACTCAGTTTAGTCAATTCCCGTGTCACCCACCAAGTGCTATCAGGAGCTGTGTTTAGAGTCACTTTCAAATCACTGAAAATGTTGAGTGCTTTTAAATATGGCAACAGTCCTGGCTGGATCTCTTTAAAATCGATAAATAAAGTGTGGTGCTGTTCTGAGCTATAATTGACTTAATGTGTTCTTTATTGCTCTAACAAAATTCTGACCTACTAGTAAGTCATGCCATATAGATAAATATAATATTGCCTTACTTTTGTATTACTTAAGCAAAATCATCATTTTGGTCTTCATGTGCATAACCTATTATCATCTTCTGTTGATGGTAGTCAACATGGGTTGTTTTGGTCTGTTAATTTCTTGAGTTCCGCAGTTTCTTCTATATATTTTCTACTTGAGTGTCAAACATTCTGGTCCGTGTTGGCTTGTGGGGTTTTGTTTAATCTTCTAATTAATAAGTGGTAGTTTACTGGAACTATGTTAGTGTTGTAAAATTGCCAGTCACTTGAGACTTCAATCCAGCTTTTCCAGAATTATTAGGAACAAATCACTTGACCATGCAATCACAAGTATTTATTTCTAGAAATTTCTCAGTGGTAGAGGAAATATCTCTATCACTCTTAGAGCATTGGGAAATACTTACTTTTATTCATAAGATATGTTGTCTTAATTCTTTCCCAATGTAAAGTATTGCACATGACAGAAGGGGGCTTTTTTCTGATGATAATTTTCCTATCCTTAGCTAATAGTTACATTATTTTTTGTATTTTCTCTTATGCCTTAAAAAGTCTTATGCTTCTGAGCTGCATCAATTGCAATTTTCTATGCATTTTTACCTTTCTATGTTGTTTTGCTGCATCACAATTCCTAATTTACTGATAGCTATTTAAAGAATAGCTTTAAGAGTGTTTTGTGGTTTGTTTGGAGTATTTTCCCCTAAAGTAATATATTAGTTGCCTGTTTTTATTGTGGGGTTGTACCCGTTTGCAACTGTTCTTAAATGCCTAATTTTCATGAGCAGCTGTATTCTGAAAGACATCTCTTAGTTGTACTCAAAGTACTATTTAGCGTATAGAAATTCTGTTTGAACGCAAAAGTAGATAACATTTACTCCCACTTTGGAGGGAAAAACAAGTTTGTTACCCTGCTGTTCTTTAGGACTTAGATATGTTTGAAAGAAGTATGCCAGTAGCTTAGCTTTTAGTTGCAAAAATTCATTTTGTACTTAGATAAGCCAGTGGTAATGCAGGCAGCTGATTGTGAAAATCTGCACTGCAGGCTCTTTGTGCAAGTGTGAAGTAACCTCAGCTGTAATTACAGGTATAAGCTGACTGATGATACACAGACCCACAGGTCACATATTAACATGCAAACACAAATTGTTTTCCTTTAGTTTTAGTTTCTCTTAAAGACTGTCTTCAAAATAGGGAAGAATGTGGTTAGGTAGTGCAATTTGGGAAAAAAATGAAAGACAAAATATCGCAAATCTGTTAATTTTCTTTTTTGCATGTGGCAGATGTTGAGACTGAAACTTGTTGGAAACCAGACACTTTTGCCCCTTTGTTTTTCAAAACTGTAAGCACTTCAGGACTGAAGTTCTTTCAGTACTCCTGATTTGAGCATTTTATTTTCCTAGATCTTTTGAGTGTTAAACTCAGCACTGTAATAACATCTGTGACACTGTCCCGGAGTTCTGAAGTTTCATTTTTGGTGAGCCCAGAAAGGCAGCCTTCCTGTAGAAATAGCAAAACGAATAGTTGAGTTTGCATTTTTCCAGTAATTTTGTTTTTCTTCCTCACAGAAACATTTAAAGACACGTTTGTATATTTGCAGTAGATGCTGAAATTGATTAAAGTGCAGCATGTTAAACACGGAACTTGAAACATCTGCCTTCCTGATGTTTTCTGTCAAGTGCTTGCCAGGATCACTTTCCCCATGTTGGAGCATGTCATACAGTTAAAGCACTGACTTACCAGCTTGACATATGAGCGTTAACATTTTGCTTTTGAAAAATGAGTGTTTTTATCCAGCATGCTGGTGAAGGCAAAAAACATTACAGGTAGTCTTCTGTGTCCATCTTCCCTTTTGTCATCTTCTGCACAGTCAAAATCAGGGTTTGTTTTTTTTCTTGCAGGCTCTGACAGCATCAGAACCTAATCTTTGCCGATATATGTGATAGAGTAATGCTCATTGCTGAAGAGTGGCCTTGAGGATGTGAGTTTACAGTAGCTTACTGGTCTGACTCATGGCTATTTGTTGTATTCAGTGGCCTGTTGAACCTAACTTGGGAAAAACTGCTGTTTTCTGTGCCTGTGCTGTCTGAAATTCCTTGTGTGATTCTGCACAGGTACTGTTTGGATGCTCAGCATTCAACTTCGAAATCCAAACTGGTTTTTTGGCATTTTTATACCATCAAAGGCATAAGCATCAGTATAAGTGGAATTACTGTAG